GGGACCCGCGGCGGGAGGGGAAAGCGAAGGGAAGGGAGGGGAAAAAAAAAAGGAAAGGAAGACAAATAGAGGGAAATTAGAGAAAGAAAGGGAAAAATGGAAAAGGAGGCAAGAAAAGGGGGGAAAAAAAAGGGAATAGGAAGGAAGAAAAGAAAAAAGGCAGGAAAAGAGGAAGGAAAGAAAAAAGGAAAAGAAAAAAGCAGGAAAAAAAGGGAAGGAGAGGGGAAATTAAAATTTTTTAAAAAATTGAAAAAATGAAAAAGCGGGAAAGAAATAAAAAGGGGGGGGGCGTGTCCCCAACCCCGTCCCTTTGACCGGGCCACTTCCCTCCTCCCCGTCCTTGTCCCCATCCTTTCTCCCACTTTGTACCGTTGAAATTAAGCTGAGCTTTGCACCGGGATCCATTTTCCTTCTCTATTGTTGGGGGTTTTTTTACAGTTGTTGGGGTGTTAAGAGCAGGTAGCGCTGCTTTGTTTTGGAAAAAAAAAACTAATGAAATTTGACCTTTCCATCATTTTTCTGTATTTTTCAGGGGGTTTGGCACGTGTCTGTGGCGGAACCAGTTCGTGCGTTCAACAGAATTTGATCTTCGCGTCATTTTTCTGTGTTTTGAGGCTTTTTGGCATGTCTCTGTGGCGCAATCGGTTAGCGCGTTCGGCTGTTAACCGAAAGGTTGGTGGTTCGAGCCCACCCAGGGACGGTGCCACCTATTTTATGCTGGCTGTTTCCTTCTTTTTTTCCTTCCCCCTCATTTTTTTGCATGGCGCAGCCGAGGATGGACACGGCAGGCAGAGGTTGCCGGTCCCGGACCCCGTGGGGCAGGCAGGGTGTTTTTTCACTGTGTAGAAAGCTGCAAAGGGGCTTGGCAGGGCTTTCCCCGCTGCCTTGGGGTGCTCCTCGCCCTCAGGACTGGGCTGAGCTGGACAGGGGGAAGGTGCGAACAGGCAGGATGCAGCCCCGGTGCTCCCTGTGGGCTCACAGCTCTCTCCGAGGCACTGGGCAAGGGGGGAACCAGCCCCCAGCATCAACAAGAACATTTCTGCTCAGCCTGTGGTCCTCTCTGCACCGCAGTTTCTCCCATGAGCAAAAGGAGACGTTGGGACATTAAAAACAGAGCAGAGACTTGAAAGCCTGTTTCCATCCAGAGACTGTATTTTGCCCTAAAAAAAAAAGCTGAAGGGGGTCCAAAATCTGCATTGCTGAAGTTCCCCTCTCTTACAAAGTCTTGTAAAATCTATTTATGTTCCCCACTTGCCCTGATTTTATTTTCATACCAGAAATAATGAAGTTAATGTTTTGATGCAGGGCATAAAGCCACGCCAGGAAGATCCCTGTTGTTTCAAAAGCCCAGAGCCACAAAACACTCCCGCAGCTGAGCCCAGTGGTGCCGGGGCTGGGGACATGCCAGGGGTCTCTGGGAGCGGGATTGCTGCTGCCTTCCCGATCCAAGAGCACCAACCCGATGGGCAAGCGAAGAGAGAAGCGGTGCCCAGCGGCGATCATCTCCCCACTGCCCCCCAAGACAGCCAGCACTGCCAAAGTCTGCCGTGGAGATATTCCTGTCTGGCTCTGCTGCTCCTTCTCTCCCCACGGTGTTCCCCCCAGACAGAATGTGGCCTCTGACTTCATCCCTGCGAGAAACCTTTTTACAATGGAAAACGCTTTAAAAATACAACAGCCATGGGACGGGCTGTGCCTTCGGGACTCGGTCCCGGGCAGATGAACAGCCTCTGCACGGGCCGGAGGTTTTCATTGAAACCAGGCGGGCTGATCTGTAGTGCATTTGAGAGCGTTTCCAAACACATGGATCTCTTTCTCTTTGGCACAACATCACTCCCCTAAATTAAACATTTAATCCTGTCTCCTCCAGGAGAGGGGAGAGCTGGCGAGCGGGGATGGGGAAGGAAATCCAATACTCTGCAGAGCGCAAATCCCCCTTTCAATTGCTCTCTGAATAAAAAATACCCTCGCAGACACTTGCCAGGCTCCTTCCCCTCCCTGGGATGAGCTGTGACTTGCTGCTTTACAGAGTGACTTTCGTGGGCCGCCACTTTCCAAAGAGATCTTTTTTCCCCTCTGGGGAGACCTGCTGCCCCTGGCGCCCCCAGGGCGAGTTTAGGGCTTTGTCCCTGGGTCCCAGAGGTGCGAAAGCAGAGGGTAGGTGCGCGAGGCCTGACACACCCCAGGGCTCTGCACAGTGGCGTGCTGCGGACCAGGTTTCCTGGGTTTTCCAGTTAAATTCAGACAGGTTTGGCCAACTTTTTCCCAACAGAAGGTGCCAGGGCTGTGTAGGGCCAAACTGGGGGAAGATACCACTGGGCAGGTCCCAGTCCAGCCACCCTGTGGTGACCCCAGCCTCGCCACGGGCAGCAGGGAATGGGCATGTGAAGAATGGACAGGCAGGGGCCGCACAGGAGCCGTGGCCTCAGGGACCCCCCAGCGCCACTGGCACCCACCTGCCACCTCTGCAGTGCCCCTGCATGTCCCTCCAGCTGTTCCACACCCTCATGGGCACATCCAGCTGTGCCATGCCCTGCATGTCCCTCCAGCTGTGCCATGCCCCCATGGGCACATCCAGTTGTGCCACGCCCCTGCGTGCACATCCAGCTGTTCCACGCCCCCATGGGCATCTCCAGCTGTGCCATGTCCCCATGGGCACACCCAGCTGTGCCACGCCCCTGCGTGCACATACATCCAGCTGCGCACCCCGACGGATCCAGCTGTGCGAACCCCGCCCCCGTGCAGCT